CTTCATGAAGTGGGAGAGGCAAAAGAAGGCTTTCTTCACGAAGTGGGAGAGGCAAAAGAGGGTTTTCTTCACGAAGTGGGAGAGGCAAAAGAAGGCTTTCTTCACTGGTTCGAATCCTGCCTTTCCCACTTTGTGAAGAAAACCTTCTTTTGCAAGAGAGCCAAAATTCCACTTTGCAAAAGAAGTTTCAACCAGTTTGGAACTCGAGAGATTTGCCGACTGATGAGGAAAACTCGTTAACGTAAGGCAAATGAGGAGAGCCGCCGATTCACTTTTTCTTTTTTGGTCCCAGATTCTTAGACACACTGATGTTCCCTTTTTCCAATTATCGGAGTCGAAAGAGGCGCAGTATTGTTATTTATTGTCACTACCTGCCTATGTCAGGATTGGGTAGTTTATGCGCGTGCTGCCTTCCTTCCTTGGATGTGGTAGCCATCTCTCAGGCTCCTTCTCAGGAATCGAACCCTGATTCTCCGAGTGATGTTCACTCTCTGGGGCCTATCCCTGATAAAAAATGGACAATAATAAGTGATGTTGAAGATGTTCCCTTTTTATCTTCCGTTGTTGAGCACGGATAGGCCCTGGACAGATTCCATTGCCAGCAGGGAGGAAGAAACAAAAGGGAATCATTCAACCAAGACAGATGATCACTTTTTTATACTCTGTTGTTTTGGATACAATTTGATCTCACTTAAAATTTACCTCTCAAAATTTACTGATCAGTGATCTCGCCTAAAATTGACCTCTCAAATAATTTACCTCTCCTTGGGCACGTTAGACAGCTAGAGGTGTCTGCTCTTATCAGCACCCCTAGCATTCACTTGGGTTGTTTCTGAAAAAAAAAAAAAAAAAAAAGATCGCATGTTTACACACCACGAACAAGTGGTCAAACCGGTTTTCATGGATATACCATCTTCACCCGAATCGAACGCCTGGTCAATATCATAGCAGTATTTGGGCAACTTTCAGTCTAGATACAGGTATATACTGACCAGGCGTTCTATTCGGGTGAAGAAGGTAGCCTGTTGTCATAGGGGACGGAAAAGGATACTCGGGTTGTTGGAACTGCTTTCTCCGAGTATACTCACACTATGATGCGCCTGGCCGCGATTACAGCCTGTCCTGCGTGTACCTGACAGCAATTACATCCACAGAGGAGTGGAAAAAGTCCTATTATGAGTATGCCCTCAGTCTGTTTTTTTCAAGGGAAGAGTAACAGGAGGGAAGCGGTATTGACCTGACTGACAGTTAATCATTCAAATGGAAGTCATGAAGGCTGTCAGCATTCCCCAGGCCATTGCACACCGTGTCCTGACTGTAGTGGTTAAGAGACTTGGGTCTTGAGACCGAGGTTGCCGTTGGAATCTGTGTGTGCACGGAGAAGGGCTGGGGCCCAGATGTACGGATCCATGCCTACTGTGGAAAGCTCCAGTGGGGGGGTGCGTACTGATCGGAGCGAAGCGTGCGTGAACGGCCGTGTCCATGGAGTCAGAAAACGATGTGTGTGTTGAGTTGGACACTACAGCTTGCACGGCTGGGGTGGATATCACGACCCGTATTATTCCACTTTTAAAATACCGTGTCCTGGCTGTGGTGGTTGAGAGAGACTTGGCTCTTGAGGCCGAGGTCGCCGGTTCGAATCCATGCGTGCACGGAGGAGGGCTGATCAGCAAAATGTCATGGATCTGAACCGGCGTGCACCTTACGACCTCGGGGTCCGCACCAGTAAAATCAAGGCAGATGTACGGATCCCTGACATAACTCGGGGAAAGCGGTCAGGAAGGTGACCCAATCACTGCCTTGATGTTACTTGTGCGTACCCTCCGCAAGTGTGTGGTGCTCTTGCTGAACGGAGGACCTTTCTTTTCAGGTTGAAATTTCGGACACACCTGTGCAAGTGTCATGACTCCACTGCAAAAGAGACCCCTTTTTTTTGTTTTTTCTTTTGGAGTTAGACCCCAAACATTGTTCTGAGTGTTGGTAGCATTCAGCAGCTGTAAGCCTGCGACCTCGGCTGGAAAGCGATCGCAGTTCACACCTGTTGTACCGTAATTACCATGCTGACAAACGACAATGGGGCACAACACGAGCCTAGAACCCTAAACCTGAAATAGAAGAAAGAGGTGGTGATATTCTAGGCAACATAGCAATGACATAGCTGTCAGAATTATGGCTTATGCCATTCCTTTTTTGCTGCGGAGGAAGGTAGGGAATTAGTAGGCACATAAGTGGGTAGGTGGGTGAGCAGCTCATCAGGAGGGCATGTAGGTCCGTTCATGCGTGTGCGTCTGGGTAGGTATAGTCCGCTTTCAAGAAACTGTATACAAACGCACAGAGAAGCCTATCCCAACCTTCCTTCCAAACTACTCAAACAAACGACTACAAATGTAGTCCGACACTTACATTCCATGCTGCTGTCAGAATCGTCAGCATGCACTATATTCTGCAGAGGCCGGTATCTCGAGAGGTGGGTGGGTAGGTAGGTTGGTAGGTAGGTTGGTAGGTAAATAGGTAGGTAGGTAGGTGGGTGGGATCCAAACCGATAGATGCTGCTTTCGAGTTCCAAGACAAAACCTATTCAATTTGACAAGTCAAGATTGCTAATCTTTCATTCAATACAGGCAAAAAGAATGCCTACGCTGCGAGGGATATGATGACCCAGAAAGAGTGTACCTATCCCTGGCTGTCAAACAGTCAGACAACTGTGTAAGCACCATCAACCACGAGCTCTGCTCCGACAACGTAGCTTGCTTCATCACTGGCGACAAATGCAACAACGTTTGCAATCTCTTCAGCACGTGCAAACCGTCCGAGTTGTTGCTTTGCGTGGAAACTCTTCAGCAGCTCTTGAGGATCCTTATCACCGCAGATCTCAAGGACCCCAGCGAGCAAGCCGGGTGTGTCGGTTGTGCCGGGGCACACTGCATTTACTCGTATTCCTTCTTTTATTAGGCTGATGGAAGCTGCTCGAGTGAGAGACGATACACCTCCCTTCGATGCATGATATGCAGCATAGCCTTCCACGACACAGAGAGGCACCCAAAAATGACAACAACACAATACAGAGAAGTGAGTCACCAAAAAAAAAACGCCAAGCTTGTAAGTTCGACTAATATTACCGTCTTCACCCGAATTTGGGCCAACTTTCAGTCTAGATACTGAGACAATAACCGGGTGTTCTATTCGGATGAAGACGGTAACATACACTTGTGGGCGTATGTTTCGAGTGCCGAGTGCGAGTGCTGTTTCACTCTTTGGTATCACGATTGTTCTGTGACTTTCTCATATCAGGTTTGTTTTGTGATGTTCAGTGCACTCTCGTGCTTGACATGCTAGAATCTACGCGTAGGCATCTCCTGCTCTCCTGCTCTCCTGCTCTCCTGCTCTCCTTCACAGCTTGTTCTATCTGGGGTTGTGGGCGTATGTTTCGAGTGTCGAGTGCGAGTGCTGTTTCACTCTCTGCCATTCCTGTGAATTTCAGCAGGAGAGCAGGAGATGCCTATGGATAGATTCATCCATGTCAAGGGTGAGAGGCAAGCAGTCGAGAGCGATCAGTCTTGGGTAGACGAGTAGATACAACGAAGTGAGACTGGGAATGATGTTACTCGATAGCAGTAGACAGCGATCAGTCTTGGATAGACGAGTGGATACAGCAAAGTCGGCCTGGGAATGTTGTTACTCGAGGGTAGGACAGAGAGTTGATGGAGGGTGACACCGCCTGGCCATGCGACCGGGAGGACAACGCGCTGATCCCGCAATGCAGATCCCCAGGAAAAAGTCCAGGGGCTGGTGGAGTATTGCACCGGGACTGCTGGTTGCGGGTCGAGCCTCTAGGAGACGGGCCTCAGGTAGATCTCGGGGCAACAGACCTGCACTCTGTGTGAAGAAGACTTAGAAACAGCTCACTGACCTGTGGCGGGGCCAAAGCCCCGGACATCTTGTGCATTGCTGATGTATTGTAATACTTTGGGGTGCTGGAATATAGGCAGGAGCAACCGGGGACGTCTGCTAGTAGGGGCTGCGCTCCTATCACCCCTCCTAGCAGGCCATGACCGGCTTTGCAAAAAAAAAAAAAAAAAAAAAAAAAAAAAAAAATGGTGGCGCGTGCCAAATAGACCAAAATGGCTGGCGGTGCCAGCCAAAATAAAAGAAAAGCGCCGCGCTGGCATTCGGCAAAGCTTGGCATGCAGGGGGAATCCGCCTCAGCAAAAAGAGGCTCGGATGTACTGGTGGTTTAAACCAGCATTACCTACAATGCCTCTTTTTGCCGAGGTCGACTCCCCTGTGTGCCAAACATTGCCGAAGCTCAGCGCAGCGGGTTCCCCCCCCCCCCACTTTTGGCTGGCACCGCCAGCCATTGGGGTCCGGTAGCCCTTATCAGTACTCCCACAGCCTGGGATCCCTCCCCACGACAGCACACGGATCCGAACCGGCACCCTTGGCCTCAAGACCAAGCATCGTAACCATTGCAGCCATGACATGGTGTTCAAAATTGGAACCCTACCGGTGGTCATATCCACCCCAACCGTGCATGGCTGCAGTGTCCATACTCACTCACCCACACACACAACGCCACACACGGCAGTCTCTCGCACACATGCTCTTCATCCAGCCCAGGACCCTCAACCACAACGGGGCCTCTCCCCCAACGGCCACCCACTCCTGGTATGATTTCCAGGCAGGTTACAGGGCTAAGTACAAATCAGTACTTCCACATGGGTATTAATGGCCTGTCCATCCTCCTTTCCTGCATTGTTCCTGTTTGCATTCTGTCTATATTTCTTGATTGGCTTGATGGTGGCCAGTCCAATTTATCAGCCAAGTGATGTGCAACATGTCAAACAAATATTGTGATAACTCCGACAAGACAATCATCATCATCACCATCGACATGCATGTACTCACTGTTATGATCCTGGCCAATTTCGAAGTACACATTCATCAGATAGGACAATGCAGTCCAATTGCAGAAAGAAATGAATGAACTTGAGAGGAGAGAGAGGGTAAGAAGAAGAAGAAGAAGAAGAAGAAGAAGAAGAAGAAGAAGAAGAAGAAGAAGAAGAAGAAGAAGAAGATGATGTACAACAGCATAGACAAATGATAAAGCTCTTCTTCTTCGCCAATCACTCTCCTCCTTCTTATCTCCTCCTCTCTTATTCACACAAGAAATAATAATACAATGTTGAATGGCCGAACCAGAATCAATGTCCGAATCCCTCTTCTCTACTCCAGGTATCACTTGAGGTCCACCATAGCCATGGCCGCCTCCCTCACTCTTCACTCTCATAGGCCGAGGCTATGGCGGACTACGGGCCTTGCCCTGATGCCCAAAGGATAGCTATGGCTCTTCTAGCTCAGGCCGCCATGACTGACTCTACCTCGGAGCTTCTTGATGTAGCTCTGCCTCAACGGGGACCTTCATGCTGCAGCGTCCACCAAGGTGATGAAGATGGCTGCCACCATAGCCAGGTGAGTACCTCTGGCACTCCCCCTTCCTCCTGGTCTTCTACCTCCTTCATGTCTTTGCTCCTTCCCCAGCAGCGCTGATCTTGCTAGCAATGCTCCAGCCAGTGCTCCAACCAGTGTGTCGCCAAACTTGCACACCGACAATGAGGCCGGGCTCTACGCCCCCCCTGGAGATATAGCGGCCTGCTTGCCTCTTGGGCGGTGACTTCGCGGCCGCTCGGCCTTCCAAGCAACCGGTACCTCCTCCCTTTCGGAGGGAAACATCATTGCAGACTCTGATATTGCCCGTACAGGCCCTAGGCCCAGACTGGTTGGACTGGTACCCGCCTAGACCTAGCCTACAACTACTGGGCCTCTAAAAATGCCACTTTTGTCTTCTTCTGCTCGGCCTCGAGTATCCGGCACATCTACCTCTTCAGGGTGTGGTACCAGCCTACCTGCTACTTGAGTGTTTCCCCGCTGCTTCAAGTGTTGCGGGCCTCTTCCCCCGCCACTTGAGTGTTTTCCCCTCTGCAATCCTCAATGTCACGGCCACAGGTAAGTACCGGCCCTGAGGGCCCAACGAACGAACAGGTGCCCTTGCGGGTCACACACACACTCAAGCCAACCAGCACTCTCACTCTCTCTCTCTCTCTCTCTCTCTCTCTCTCTCTCTCTCTCTCTCTCTCTCTCTCTTTCTCTAAGGTTCTGGCACTGTTCCAACAGTGCCGGTGGTCTTGCTTCAAGCAGCGCTCCAGCACAATGCGCCAGGCAGAATGCTGGAGTCTGGGGAGGAGGCTGACTGATATCGTGTTTGACAGGCCTGGCCTGCCTCCTCTGCGACCAAACGAACGGCCAAGATTTCCTTATCTGAGTGGCTCAGATGGGGTTCAGTCCATGTTTGGACGGGTCATCACATTTTTCTTTTAAAAGGGCGACGATCTTCAGATATCATCTTCGAAGGATGGCTACAGTGCATCCGGACCATGGACCAGATACAATTGTCCGTGTAAGGTGTTCAGTTTGCCCCATCACCCAACCATTTTTGTGGGAAAAAAAAGCGCTTAGGACGACGTTTGCGTCCTAGACGCCCCAGGAAAAATAGCGGGCTGATTTTAGAGGCCCGTTTTGGCCTTTCGAATGCAAGCAGACACGAGCACATGCGTGAAAATTTCCCTCACTTGGAAAACTTTCAAATCAGGCTTCCATAGGCGGGATAAGTTTGACCTCACGGAGCTGGCGCGGGGAGCCAATCGCCGTTAATCTCTCTCTCTCTCTCTCTCTCTCTCTCTCTCTCTCTCCATATTTTGCTTTGTTTCTTGATTCGTGATGACCAGGAGGGATGGTGGGATAGCACCGAGGAAAGGAGTTGCAGTCGGGGAGGAGGAGGGAAGAAGTTGAGGAGGATGGATTGGTCAAGGAGCGGGAGGGACGAGAGTCGAGGAGGAGTGATGGAAGTATGGAAAGGGGAGAGCATGCCCGCTGTTGCCTAAGTCTCTTCTTTCTTTCTTTTGGGTGGTCCCTCGTCATCATGGCGGGTCTACTGCGCATATGAGAGGAGGGTTGGAGTCAGGTGGAAGAGGAGGGATAGAGTCGTGGAGGAGGGATGGAGTCCAGGAGGAGGGATGGAGTCGAGAGGAGGGATTGATACAATGAGCGATGGACACAAATGGTTAACGGGGACCCCCATTTTCAGGCCCTGGGTAACGAGTCACTGAAATTAGGGTTCCGGCCCTCCGGGGTCAAATTTTATGTTTTTTTTTTGTTTTTTTTTTCGCCTGTTCTTGTTTTTTTTTTGGTTCAAGGTTGGTGTGTGCCAAATTTTGTGTCATTTGGAGAATTGGAATTTACTCTGTTAAGATTTCTGAAATTTCTCAAGATTTTTGAAATTGAGATGTTGGCGAAATTTCATGAAAATGCACTTATTATTTTTTCTTGGATTTGTTTTTGCAGTTAGTTAGTATGGTCTCCACTCTACGAATTGGTGGCAAGTTTGATTAAAATGACCCTTTGGTTTTCATATAAATGGCATGGCAAGTGGTCTGAAAATTAGGGTCTTCGTTAACCTTCTCTCGCGATGGAGGGATGGAGGTCGGAGGGGGTGCCAGATCTTACCAATGTTTCTTTTTTTCTGTTCCTCGTCGTCGCGGCAGGCAGGGAGACGAGTTGGAAGTGAGAAGAGGATCAGGGATGGAGGAGAGGAGGGATGGAGGAGAGGAGGATGCATTGGGTCGCGGAGGAGTGATGGAGGGATGGAGGGGGAGGGGGTGCGCGCCCGATCAACGGAGGGGCGGAGCAAGTGCGACAAAACCTCTCCAGCCTTCCAAGTTACATCTGCCTTCTGCGACCGAAGTTTCTTTTTTTGTGTGTGTGTACGGTCCCTCGTCATCACTTCAGGTCTACCGCGCATATGAGGAGGGAGGGAGTCAGGGTGGAGGAGGAGGAGGGATGGAGTCGAGGCGGAGGAGCGATGAAGTCAAAGAGGAGAAGGGATTGATTCAATGAGAAATGGAGGGATGGTGATGGGAGGAGGTACCGACATTCACCGAACTTCTTTTTTTTCCGTTCCTTGTCCTCATGGCAGATGGGGAGGAGAGCTGGGCGTGAGAAGAGCAGTAGGGATGGAGGTGAGGAGAGGAGGGATGGACGAGAGGAGGAGGAGGAGGAGGCAGAGGAAGGATGGAGGCGACGAGGAGGAGGAATGGATTGGAGTTCTTTCACTGACTCTGTCTTTTTTTGTTGTTGCTGTTTGTTTGTTTCTGCCGATAAGGCGGCCAGTTGATCCTTAAGTACGTGGAGGAGGATGGAGGCGAGGAGGAAAAGTTGGAAGTGGGAAGAGGAGGGAGGGTGGCGAGGAGGGATGGAGGTAAGGAGGAGGCGAGGAGGAGGAGGAGGGATGGATGCCACTTCTTCTTCTTCTTCTTCTTTTTTGTTGTCATTAATCTGGACAGTCCGGGTCTGGTGATGTCCAGCTGTCCAGTGGATGTCCTGATATCCAGACGTCTGGATCAAAGCAGAATTTGGTTAGGAAGAGCTCTATCTTGACAAATCGCTTTATATTGCATGCGTTTTAATTCATATTTAGCTACGAGCAATCTATGTTTTTGATCTCTAACGACTTGATTTGACATATGGCTAAACTTCTTTCTGTAAAAACCCGCTCCACAAAATGGAAGTTTCATTTTGGGTTTTAGCTGAGGTGACAAGAGTCACATGAAACCCACGAAGGTGTTCAAAATTTTCGAAATGATTTTGTATTTCTGGGAATAGGCGTAACAAAGCAGGTCCTGTTTCTGGTCCAGATGTGTTGGGTGCCATGCTCTGAACTGACCGCCCCCAGGTAAATTCAAAGTTATTTTTCACTCATCTGACTCTGGAATTCGAAATCAGGTCCTTATTTAAACAGTTCATGCCACTTCATGGGCGTACCAACTGAGCTAGGCCAGTTGGTCATCATTAGTTTCTTCGTTTTGCTTTATATTTTTTTGCACTTGTAGTCCGCTTCTCTGTTGTTGTTGTGTTTTTGTTTTGATTTCGTTTTGTTTTGTTCCCCCCCTCTGCCTTTCTGCATTTTGGCTTCTTGTGTTTTCCATTGCTTCGTTTTGCTGTTTGTGCCAGCCTCCCCCATGCTTTCTGCATTTTAGCTTCTTGTGTTTTCCATTGCTTCGTTTTGCTGTTTGTGCCAGCCTCCCCCATGCCCTCCAGCCTATATGCCTTGCTACCACAATCCCTTTTTCCATCGCAGTCTTTTGCGTTACTTTCTTTTGCCTTTCTTCCTTTTGCCTCGCTGCCTTTTCCTCCACTGCCTCGTTTGTCTGCCCACCCGCCTCCCCTGTGCCCTCTTGCCACTTGCCGTCCAATGCCTTGTTGCCTCCCTGCTCTTTGGTCCTCTCTCTCTCTCTCTCTCTCTCTCTCTCTCTCTCTCTCTCTCTCTCTCTCTCTCTCTCTCTTGCTGCCTGGTGGTGATTGTCTTCCAAACCGCCTCCCTCGTGCCCTCCAACCTGTGTGCATTGGTGCCGCTTCTCGTCTAATGCCTTGTTGCCACCCTGTCCTTAGCCTTACTGCCTTTGGCCCCTCTTTGTGTAATCTTTTTATGCCCTTTATGTCTGCATATGTGTGGGGATCTTTGGGGATAGTCTCGAAAGCAGATGTTAAGCCACCAGTGCTTTTCCCAGCCATTTTTTTAGAGTCCCGGCGTGCATGCTGCCGCGACTCTTGGGAATTAGCGGGGCGCTGTTTCGCGGCACAGCCATCCAGGCAAAACAGCTCACATGCAAGGCCCGTTTTGCCTGGATTGATGTCCAGCAAAACGGCGCCCTGGTACTTGCCGAGAGTCGCTGCAGCATGCGTGCCGCGACTCAGAAAAAATGGCTGGGAAACATACTGGTGGTTTATCGTGCACCTTTAGGAATGAATGTGCCACGGAACAGTGCCCCGGTGCTTCCCGAGAGTCGCGGCAGCATGCACGCCGAGACTCTGAAAAATGGCTGGGAAACAAACTGGTGGTTTATCTTGCACCTTGGGGGATAGTACTGCCAGCCTATGCTAATGTCTAATAACATATGTCACCTCCATAGTTAATTGGATAAAGAGTAAGGGAGGGAGCGTGGTTATGACTGGAATTGGAACGCCCCAAAGTATGTAGGCCAACATAGTAGGTTCTTCTATAGCCTGTATGCACGAAAAGAACAGTTGTACCACAGGTTGCTGTGGGGTTTTCTTAGCGCGTCGAGCTATGGGTTATGCTGAACACATAGGAAACTGGTTGCCATGTTCAGTGAGAGTACACCCGGGCTGTGTGGGAGATCGCCATGAAAAGGGAAGAACACTCACCTGGGGATCCAACTACTGCAAATATGGAAGAGATGTTTACAATTGAACCGCCACCTCTCCTTCGCATATATGGAACAACCAGCTTGATGCTTCGAAACACAGAAGTAAGATTGACATCAATGACTGTATTCCACTCCTCCTCAGATGTATCCATAATGGGCTTTCCATTCTGCACATAAAGTGAGGGAAAGACAAAATGCAACACGGTTGAAAACTCAAGTCAGACACGGACCGGACCGGACCGGACTGGACCGGGCTACTAGGAGTGGGTGCATGCATCACCCTTCCTAGCAGCTGGCCCCGTTTTTTGTGAAAAACAAAACAAAACACTGGCAATGCGGCTAAATGACAATGTGACACAGATCCGAACTCACTCACAGTGGGGGCAGTTTAAACGTAGAAGAGTCCTTCCCGCTGTCATCATACAGAGGCAAGGTGTGAGATGGGATGATGAGGAGGGAGGACGAAGATGAAAAAGACGACGAAGAAGAAGCAGAACCAATGTATGGGCCGGTCAGTTCAATGATGATATCTCAAGGCCATCGCCCTTTTTTTCAAAGAAAAGAACCAACGTATGGGAACTCTCTCTGTCTCTCTCTCACACACACACACATAAGAAGGGGAAGAAAATGAAGAGACGGAGTTTAAGAAAAAGAACAATAAAATTCTTCTCTCCCTCCCTCAAGAGAATATGGACTGAAGATGAAAAAGACGAAGAAGAAGAAGCAGAACCAATGTATGGGCCGGTCAGTTCAATGATGATATCTCAAGGCCATCGCCCTTTTTTTTAAAAAAAACAACCAACGTATGGGAACTCTCTCTGTCTCTCTCTCTCTCTCACACACACATAAGAAGGGGAAGAAAACGAAGAGACGGAGTTTAAGAAAAAGAACAATAAAAGTCTTCTCTCCCTCCCTCAAGAGAATATGGACTGGTGAAAGGCAGCGCCTTGAGCAGTCCAGGTGAGTGGATTGGTGGGCATTATCGGACAATGATTCATGACAGAGAGCCGTATCATGGGAAACTATCCCATGCGGTTCAGAGGGCAGGGAAATAAACTTAATCCCAGCCCATATCTCCGGCTTACTTATGCTTGCTAACTAAGGACCTCCGTGAGAGCTGTATGCGAGGAAACTTGCACATACTGTTCGGGAAAAGGCTCTCTGACGCCTGCCTATCTATGAAGGCTTTAGTTATGCTACCTTGAAGAAGAAGGCCGGCAATCCCTGGTGGCAGACCTCCACGCTATGGCGCCAGGTAAGTGGACAACTCCACTCTACTGCTCGTCCTCCTACCCCTACTCAGCGCTGCTCTACTCTATTGCTAGGCTCTGTCACTTGCGAATCAAGCTTGCCCTCCCCCGTCTTACCGCGGATTCTGGCAGCCTGGTGGCAATGCATGAATGAAGATAATGAACCAACCTACCAAGCTACCGAACCTGCTAAGAGCATATACTCACACTAGGGGTCTAATTCTCAAAATCGCAAAATCTGCTGTTCTTATGCAGTCACACATTATCCCCGCCCCCAGCAAAATCACAAATCATGTAGTATTTGTCAGCGGCCTGCTGGGCCGCGGGGTGCAGCAAATTGTGAGGTCATCTAGAGGTCCTAGCAAATTCGCAATTGATTTTCCGGATAAAAAAAAAAGGAGAAAAACTCGGTGGGCAATATAACTCGATTTCTTGTGTACTACAGTCCAGAAATGCTACATTTGCTTTCCAGCCGGACGGTCATACAGCAGCTGCACAATCTTTGGTTTGGTGTGGAGCAGATTGCCGGTGTGTAACACGTTTGTCTTTAGTGGCGGAGTCCCTTCCCCCCCCTTTCTGTTCCATACCCACTTGCGCTGCCCTTCCGCCCTCCTCCGCAGTTTCTCAACCGGTTTCCACATTGTTACGATCCTGGCCAATTTCGAAGTCCACAATCATCAGAAAGTACAATGTTGTCCAATTGCGAAAAGAAATGAATGAACTTGAGCCCAATGCCGTCCAATTGAGAAAGAAGAAAGAGATGATGTACTCCAGCATAGACCAAAGACAAAGCTCTTCTTCTTCGCTCAACAACCTCCTCCTCTTTATCTCCTCCTCTCTTATTCAAACAATAAATAAACAATAATAATGTTGAACAGCTGAACCAGAGTCAATGTCCGAATCCCACTTCTACTGCAGGCACAAGATGAGGTCCACCATAGCCATGGCAGCCCTTCTTCTTCCTCCGCATACAGGCCGAGGCTATGGCGGACTACTGAGGCTTCAGCCTCCGGTACATAAGACAACCCCAAGCAGCTACACCGCTGCACTTCTGCAAGGTCATCACCCAGCAGCTATGCCGCTGCCCACTCAACCGCCATGCCTGACCCTGTCCGAGCTTCCTTGATGCGGCACTACCCCCACTGGGGCCTTCCTGATGCAGCGCCTAGCAAGGAGATGAAGATGGTGTCTACCATAGCCAGTAAGTACCTCGCCTCTCTCCTCCTTAGTCCCCTTCTCCCTCCTCCTCCTACCGGTAGAGCTCCACCATAGCCAAGGTGGAAGCTCCCGGCTTCTTCCTCCCAGCAGCGCTGTAGTRCCCAGCGCTACTCCAGCCAGCGCTCCAGCAGCGTGWCGCCMAACTYGCACACTGAAGAATGAGGYCGGGCTCTTYBCYCKGCCTCTTGATATAGCGGCCTACTTGCCTCCTGGGCGGTGACTTCCAGGCCGCTCAGCCTCTCCAAGCAACCGGTACCTCCTCCGTTTCGGAGGGAAACATCATTGCAGACCCTGATATTACCCGTACAGGCTCTAGACTCAGACTGGTTGGACTGGTACCAGCCTAGACCTACCCTACCGCTACTGGACTCTAAAAATGCCAACTTTGTCTTTTTCTGCTCGGCCTCCAGTACCCCCTCACGCCAACTGCAGTGGGGTGCAGTATCGGCCTACCGGCCCACTTGAGTGTTTTTCCGCTACCCCAAGGGCCTCAGGGCCGCTAGCTTCGCCACTTGAGTGTTTTCCCTGCTACAACCCTCAATGCCACGGCCACAGGTAAGTACCGGCCCTACGGGCCTACCAAACAAGCAAGTACCCTTGCGGGTCCCACACACACTCATACCAACAAGCACTCAGACAGGCATGCAGGTCACAAGCACGCACACACAGACAGACTTAGAAAACACAGCAGAATGTGGGAATCTCATCAAGGCATCCATTCCATCGGCAGAACTTCAGAAATCAGCAGTGTTCTCAGTCTGTGTTATGACGGGTCATTACAGCATGCAAATAGTCTGGCCCCTGTGAGAATAGACACACCTTCCGCTTCCCTCGGAGCGGTTTCTGCTGGGCCTCGCCCTACTTCCGCATCTCGGTGTTCCCTCCAGACCCAGTCACGCAAGTGGTCCAGTTATGTGGGTGCATCGCACCTGGACTGTTCACCAGATGCAGCACAGGTTGGAAAAGCCGAAAGATAGACGCTCCGCTGGTGAGATAACGTGCTCCAGCCTGATGCTTGCCATAGCTGCTGTCCTTCATGGCAGGCACGACCGTGTCCCTCTTGCTGCGGATGTCACATGCACCTGTGGCCACGCATTGTCGCAGTATACTTCCGTGACATTATTGGCAGAGGGAGGAGACATCACTGCCACTTGACAGAATGTGTGCTCTCCCACCATATTGGTGTGGCTAGTCGCCGGCTATGGAATCCAGTTCTTGATGTTGTTGTTCTTCTCCAGCAGGTTTCACTGTCTCGCCGTCATAGTACTCCATCCATGTGTCCACATGATCCACAGGTCAACAACGACGATTTTTAAAATTTTAAATTTTCTCTTTTCCTCTTGTTTTGTGCTGCGGTGAAGATGTGCAACGCCATGACCACGTTGTAGATCTGTGGACTCTGTGTGAATCCGTCTGTTGGGATAGAACGAAAGATGTTGGGATAGAACGTAAGATCTATCCATAGGGGCGGTGGTGTGTGGTGAAGAATAATGATCTAGAAGGTGTGTGCAGAGAGATGGTGTGTGATATGATGAAGGGGGCAGGAGAAGAGGGGTGGGTGGATGTGGAGATTGTTAGGAGACATGGGGATAGTGTGTGGGGAAGTGGAGGGTTATTGTCGTGCCATTGTTGGGGATAATTGGGCTCATTCGAGGAGACCTTGTGGAATGGTGTGGAATGTCGGTAGACTGTGCGCTCTGAGAACGGGACAGGGTATGGTGGATTGGAAGCATGCAAGTGCATTCAGTTGACGGCGTAGTTGCACCACTTGCCATGCCCTTACGATTTGAATGCACTGGAACAGATTCCTTGTTCAGATACATTAAACATGATGGCGGATGGGGAGTGGTGCAACTGGGCCCTCAAGGACGGGAAATTGGAGAAACACGAATGCATGATGGACGTGCGTACCATTTCTGGTGGGTGATGGGAATATGGACGCACGTGCCCTCATATTCATCGGTCATAGATTGTCTCTTTTTTTTCCCCTTTTTCCCCCTCTTCTGCAGGTTTGGAGCTTGCAACCTTCATGTTGTCAGCACTTTTGGGGGTGGGGTGATAAGCGTTTTTGTTCACATCGGAGGTGTGTGAATAGATGGGAGTGTATGCGCTCCATCTATCTGCTCATAGGGAACAGGCCAGCCATTTACAATTTATAATGTCTATTTTCAGTTACACCAACGTGAAGATGCTCCCTCCGTGTGGCGTTCAGGGGGAGGAGAGGGGTGGGGGAAGGAGGGAGCTTCGTCATCACTTTAAGGGGCGATAGCGTTGAGGAGAGGGAGCGATCCAGAGAGGGATGTTTGTGGGTTGAAGGCACGTTCAGGGCATATCATGAACTAGTCGCAGCGGCATGTTCAAGAGAACGAGGCTTCATCATCTCCTCAACAGCAGTGCTAGCACAGACACAGAGAAACAG